CATTTTAATTATCCTAACTGTACCTTTCTTCAAAGGCAAATCTTTGAAGGTTTTTTTTCCTTTTCCAAAGTGAGAATATGCTAGATGGAAAGAACCTCTCAACATTCTCTTGTCCATCATCAGCAATGAAATTGGATTACCATGCTTCTCATCCAAAAGGTATGACCATTATTCTATGGTAAAGTAAAAGAGACAGGCCGGTAAAGCTTTGAGATAACTTGTAATCATACAGTGTAAGATTTTGCGATGACTTATTTTGCACTCTCTTTTGAAATTCTCTATTATCAGAGTACTACTGCATTTTTATATTCTCTTTTGATGCTTGCCACAAGCAGCTCAAAAGTGTATTTCACTAAGACTGCCTTGCTAGATTATTAACTCAGCTTTGGGAAAGAGAAGAGCCAAATTCAGTGGAACTAAAAGTTTGGTGTTTTTTTTTTAGGTAAAATGTATTTCAGTAATTCTTTAAGGATAAAGGGATTAAATTATGATTTATGTCATAGTGAGCTTCTAGTTGTATTATGATAATGAAATGGAAGAAAACCCAAATGGGATAAAACTGAGTTAACAAATCAAGAAAAGCATTTATGAACACTTAGGCAAATATGACTTCTTTTTCTTATATCATTGCTTTATATTTATTTATTAAACAAGAAGCATCTGGAATTTTTTCTTCTTTCATGAAAATGAAACAAAGTCTGTTTTGAAGCACTCATTATTCACACTATAGATCTTGTTAACTGCACAATACTTTTCGCTCTTTGTCTAGTCATAGTTTTCTAATACTTCTTCCCATTTTCAGTCTGAAAAACTGTCTTGTCTGAGGCCTTAGCTGAGACCGGGCTCCCAGACTCCCATGCCAAGTTGGCCTGTTAAAGTTAGATTGACTTTTCTAATTTTTTGATGGTAAAAATATTTCACCACTTTTCAAATGCTTAGTGGTTCAATAGGAATGTGAATTTGCCTCATTGACAGAGAATAGATGGTGGAGGAAGTCTTCACATTTGTGTTCTCTATGCAACTGTTGGCACTGGGAAAGACATGCTTGAAAAAAGGAATTGTAAAAAGAGTCCCTCATGAACCACAATCCATCTTATTGTCATTGTGGCCTTTCTACAAAAGTATATAAAATAGCTGACAATGTCATCAACCTGGAATGAATGAGCTGAACATTCAACCTGAAAAGTCAAAGCACAGACCTCCTTAGTTAAAGACTGAGGAGGGCTGAGAGATAAACTCTTTTCAGAAACCCCAGGCTGCTTCCTAAATCTTATTCAGGGACTCAAATAAATTGTACCTCTAATTTGATTACTGGATAGCCCTTTTGTTTGATTGATTATGTGCCATCAAGTTGCTGTTGACTCCCAGTGATCACATAGATAGTGATCCACATTTAACCCGGTCCTTCAGGCACTTCATCACCACTGTAACTGAGTCCATCCATCTTGCTGCTTGTCACCTTCTTCTTCTTTTTCCTTCCATCTTTCTTAGCATCTGAGATTTTTCCCAGATAAACAGATCTTCACATAATATGTCCAAAGTAGGATAATTTGACCCTGGTCATTCATGTCTTGAGTGAGAACTCTGGGTCGAAGACAGCCCTTTTAGAGGAATCTCAGTAGCAGCAATGACATGCAGAATATGAAAACTTATCACTCTCTACATTGTGTTTTTGATAGCCACATCATAATAATGAATATTGTTCTTTATCACATGTGATTTGTTAGATGCTTGGGATTTTGTAATTATCATAATAATCTGAATTCTATATATATGCAAAACAGGCAGTCTACTTTTTGTGCGCTTGTCCTCCCTTCCAATTAATTTAATTTTAATTACTTTAATTTTAAATACAAAATATTTTTGCACACATAGATATGCATACATAAACTCTTCTTTTTAGTAGTAGTTTAGTTTGGTGCTACCAAATGAAGTCAGGTGACTTCTTTTGGAAAACAGATTTACTCCCCACTTTTTATTGTTTAATTCTATTGTTCTTGAGAGAGTATTTCAGAAGCCGTGTGATGTTTGAATCTCCATGTGTCAGAAGAAGAGATCTGACTCTCCTCTTTGAGACTGTGCTAAGGTTTGAATCTAATGAATCCCTGTATATGAATTTGATGTTGGAGAAGATACAAAATACATGAATGTCTATGACTAGGGTGGTATTTACATTTTGTGGAATATATAGATAGGGAGAAAGATAAGAACAGTTGCAGATCCTCAATACAAATTTCCCCAACTTCTGATATTCCTTCAGAATGTGAAGAAAATTTTGACAGTCTTGGATCTGAAATACCTTGATTTTTTTCCCTTTTATTCTATCTCGTAAACATGTTATGCTATTGTGTTTTTAAAGGAGAGGAAATGAATCAGAAATGTGTCCAGATTCAATACATTCAGCTTTAGCATTTTATAGTTACAGATTTCTAAGATGTGATGGTTCCCACCTTTCCAAGTGATGTATAATTCTTATATTCTTGGCTTTAATTTAAAGACAAAAGCAAGTATCCAGTCTTTGCCATATTCCATATATGGTGCAAAATAGGCAACTTATTTTCTATGTGCTTGTTCCTCCTCCAATATTGTTAGCCTATCAACAAAGTCATAGTAGTAATTGGCACACCTTCTATCTGGAGAAGGATCCGAAGGAAAGAGTTACTTCTCTTGTAATATGGCATTGGTCTAAAGGAATCAATATGCTGTGGAATAGCAATAGAATAAAGATAATGGAGAAACAATGGTTGGGAAGGAATTATAGTAGAAGGACTTTTGGTTTATTAGATCCAAAATTTCACTTATTCACTCTGGTCACAATAGAAAAAGCTGAGGATAGATGCTGGAGAGAAAGCAGTAAGGAAAATTTGATATAAGATTTTTCTCTTCCCTAATCAGGTTGTCTTCAAACGCAAAGGAGAAAGCCAAAGAATCCTCCACTGCTTTCATGTTATTCCTATTCTGCTTGTTCATATTCGTCCTCATTCATATACTAGAGTGAGGTTCAAGGTGATGTAGAGATAAAGATATAATGAATAAACATGAATGTACAGTATATATGAAATCAGATTAATACATCAGTGAGTAGAAGCTTCACAAGGACAGAGAAAACTCAAGATTCAGAATCTAGTTCAAACACAAGCATAATTTAAGAATTTAAATTAAATTAAGAATTTAAGGGGTCCACAGATCATCTAGAGCAGTGGTCTCCAACCTTGGCAACTTTAAGACCTGTGGACTTCAACTCCCAGAGTTCCTCAGCCAGCTTTGCTCCCAGGAACTCTGGGAGTTGAAGTCCACAGGTCTTAAAGTTGCCAAGGTTGGAGACCACTGATCTAGAGTACCAAGACCAGAATTTAGTAATAAGAGACAAATGGTGGTTTAGTCATTAGGAACTCTGAATTTAAAGATTGTAAAGTTTCCAGATTTTAAAGTTCCAGCCAATATCCAATTGTAAATGGTCTGCAGTGTCTCCAAAGGGTATAACTTGCAAAGAAAGGAACTTACTTACCTACCTACCTACCTACCTACCTACCTACCTACCTACCTACCTACCTACCTACCTACCTACTTACTTACTTATTTACTTACTTACTTACTTCCTTACCTGTTTGTTTGTTTATTTATTTCTCTTATCAATTGCCCATCTCCCTCACAGAGGGGTGCTGGGCAAAACTGCTCTTGAATAAACTTTGTATTGGATGGTGCCTTACACAGGCATTTTTTTTGGGGGGGCAAGGGGGTAAGTGATGAAATGTGGTGATGTCGTGAGATAAAAATCCCATCCCTTATATATGTGTATGGTATGAATGGTGCATTGTGAAATTGTGACACATATAACATGGAATATTAGTGAGACATTCACTGGCTCCAGTTTCTGCCACCATCATCGGCTTTGTTAAAAGGAGAAGTCATCTTCAGCCTGCCATTGCTTTCCTGGAAGTGATGGCTTTCTTTTAGTGGTAGTTCTCTCTCGGGATGAAAAGTGGCTCAGATTCTTTTGGTACTCAATTAGGGTTCCTCATATCCTAAAGATTCACCAGTAAAAAATCCTTTCAAGGACTTAAATCTTTTTAGTTTGGCCTCAAATTGGATGTTATGAAGTTTAGTAAGTTTCCAAATCATCTTGAAAGAAAAATAGGCTAGACTAGAAAGAATAGTCCCAAGAGCTAAACAATTTCAGAGTTTTTTAAAAAGTACCATGTTTTCCTGAAAATAAGACAGGGTCTTATTTTCTTTTGACACCCCCCAAAAATAAGCCTTATTTCTGGGGAGGTCCTATTATTTTTGAGGTGCAGGAGGCGGCAAGCGTGGTCACCTCATTGCTGCTGATGTGTTGCAATATTTTCAGGGAAGGCTTATTTTCAGGGGAAGGCTTATTTTAGCGCATGCGCTGAAAAGCCCAATTGGGCTTATTATTCAGGGAGGTCTTATTTTCAGGGAAACTGGGTATTTTCCTTTATAGGAATAAAACATGTTAAAACATGTTAAAGTAGCATGTTAAACATGTTCAAAACCACAACATAGAAGTCCAGATTGTAATGTAAATGCAATTAAGCATCTTTTAACACCTTAAACAGTTGCAACAAAAAATCACCATTCATCACCAGTTACACCATTTTGTAACTCAGGGCTTCTTTTTTCTCCTCCTCTTTTTAAATTCTCTTTTATTTTGTAAATGTTCAGAAATATAGTCAGCCAATATGAATATATGTATAATCATTTATCACATTATTAATCTATTATTTTCTTCTCAATATACCTAATTGATATATTACACTTAGGACCATTAGTGCTATTATGGGAGCATTAGAGACGATTCTTATATTGATAGATGGCAACAATTTAATTGAAAGTTTAGAGCAAGTGATTAATTCCAGTATTAATTATCTCTTTCAGAAAGTCCATGAAGTCTGAAGGAAACAAGTTTTTGCAGCAACTGATGAGCTATCCCAGCCTCCACTAGTGGAAGCTTCTGAATAAATGAATAAAGAAACAGAAAAATGGGCAAATGGAACCAAACAACAGTGACTGAGTTTGTTCTTCTTGGCTTCACTGATCATCAAAAGATCAAGGCTGTCTTCTTTGTTCTCTTCTCAGCTATCTATTTAGTCACTTTGGTGGGAAATATTGGTATCATCGTATTAATTTGGATCAGTTCATGCCTCCGCAGTCCAATGTACTTTTTCCTCAGTAATTTGGCCTTCCTAGACTTCTCTTATTCTTCTGCCATTACACCTAAAATGCTTCTCAATTTCATAACTGGCAAGAAGACTATCTCACTGGCAGGTTGCATTACACAAATGTATTTGTTTGCTTCTTTTGCAGATGCCGAGTGCCTTCTTCTGGCTGCCATGGCATATGACCGCTACATGGCTATTTGTAACCCATTAATTTATCCTGCTCTTATGTCCCAAAGAGTTTGTTTTGGGTTGGTAGCCGGCTCTTATCTTATTGGTAGTATGACTTCACTAATTCACACTTATTATACATTTCACTTGTCATTTTGTGGATCCAACGTCATCAATCATTTCTTCTGTGACATCCCTCCCCTGCTAGCTCTCTCCTGCTCCAACACTCATATTAATGAAATTCTTCTTTTTGCCTTGTGTGGTTCCATCCAAATGAGCACTTTTTTGTTGATTATTATCTCCTATACCTATATCATTTGCACCATCTTGAGGATCCATTCATCTGAAGGCCGCCAGAAGGCCTTTTCAACTTGTACCTCCCACTTGACAGCTGTGGCTTTGTATTATGGAACCCTTCTCTTTACTTATTTGCGGCCAAGCTCCAGCTATATCCTGAATACAGACAAAATAGTCTCTGTTTTTTATACTGTGGTTTTCCCCATGTTAAACCCTTTGATCTATACCTTGCGAAATGAAGAAGTAAAGGATACCTTCAATAAATTATTGCAAAGAAAACTGATTGCACTCAGAAGGATTAGGAAATTTTTTCCATGTTTGCACTAGCAAAAATGCCACTTCTAAATGTAGACTTGAAGCTGGGAATACAGACATACACAAACCCCTGTGATTACATTTCATTGACTTAATTTCAGCTATTTTCATTTTACTTCATATAAAAGCTTTTGTTCAACTAGTGCTCTTCAAATATTTAATGGTTGTATGCAATAAAGTACTTTTATATGGGAATTCATAAATCACTTGATGGATAAGGTTTTTTTTGAAATTTGAAATAGATGTATGAGTGAAAGAGTTATGGATCACAGCCATAAAGCTCCATCTTGTATAGATAAATTCTACTTAGTAAAAAAAAATAATCTCATAAACATATTTGTTGTGCTATAAACCATTTCTTAGCTACTGTGATTTTTTTTTCATCAAAGACAAATTAACAAATTATCCTCAAGGCAAGAAAATAACATTGACATTTGTTCCTACATAAAAATGCCCTATGAAATGGAATGCAATCTTCACAAGCCTCTAGATGTTAAGGCTCCCTAAATATGGTAGTTTTCTATTACTCTGTGGTCTGGGATAGGCAAACTCATCTGCATGGGCTCCCCTTGGAAACACAAAGTATGCTTTAATTTGGAATAAGTTGTTGTTCTTCCATTAATTTAGCCCTATATGGGAAAGATCACTAGGGAAGCTTGCTCATTTGATGATCATTCATAGAAATATTCATAGAAAGCATAGAGGGCAGTGAAAATGTCTACAGACCCCTCACATCCTGGACTTAAATTGTTTCAACTTCTACCCTCAAAATGACACTATAGGCCATGCACTCGAGAACAACTGGACACAGGGACAGTTTTTCCCTGAATGCCATCACTCTGCTAAACAATTAATTCCCACAGCATTGTCAAACTATTTACTAAGACTGTACTCCTATTATTCTTCTCATCCTTCCTATTACCTATCTCCTCCCACCTATGACTATAATCATGTTGCTTTTATGATTTATATTGTTCTGTTTGTTTCCTAGTACAATTTGATTGCTTATTAGTAACCTATGACTATCAAGTGTTGTATTATATGATTCTTGATGAATGTATTTTTTCCTCTCTTTTTTCTTTTCTTTTTATGTACACTGAGAGCATATACACCAAAGACATGGCTTTTCTCTCAATTTTATCTACTTCTGCTTCATTCTTCAGAGTCATCTCATGTTCATCAGAGATTAACCAATCAGGTGGATTTACAAGTAAGGATTGCATTTTAAGTAATGTGCTATTCCCAAGGAAATTTCCTCATCGTTTGTGCTGTTTTAATATTTTGCATTTTATTTCCATTGTGTTGTATGATTCTAGCTTAGGATTAGTACATTTAAAAAAAACCACAACTGAGTATCTTATTTCTCAGTTTTCTGTCCTAAAATGTTTTGTGTTTTCTGCCGCAAGGCTCATAATTTAAATTGAGCTTGGTTAGTATGAACTTGGAACTGAGCCTACATTGCATCTCTTGAGGGCTCTTCATTGTCAAGGCCCATGACCAGGGACATATAAGGAAGAGACAAGACATGGTAGGAATCCAATATTTCATCATTCTTTTAAAAATGCCTTTTAAACTAACAACGAAGAAGAAAAAATATTATCACTGAGAAAATATTCTTTTACTTTAATTGAAAAGCACAAAAGTTTGCTACTGTGCATAAAAACATCATTGAGAATGCAGGCTTTTAGCTTTATCTGTCAAAAAGATTAATGTATGAATTTACATTAGCATTTTGACTGGCTATTTAATGTTTGGATGTCCGTTCCCCCACTCCTCCTTTTCATCATGAATGGCAGGAAACATTTCTTGCCAATGTTTTCTTCCAGGCATCCTTCACTTCTTTGTTCCTCAGGCTGTAGATCAAGGGATTCATCATGGGAAACACCACAGTATAAAAAACAGATATTATTTTATCAGTGTCTGGGGCATAATTGGAAGTAGGCCGAAGATAAGTGAAAAGGAGGGCACCATAGAAAAGTGCAACAGCAATGAAATGGGAGCTGCAAGTTGAAAAAGCTTTCTGGCGGCCTGTGTTGGTAGGAATTTTCAAAACAGTGCAAAGAACAAAGGAATAGGAGATGAGGATAAACAGGAAAGTGCTCATCTGGATAAAACCACATAGAGCAAAGAGGAGCATCTCATTTATATGGGTATTGGAACAGGAGAGGGCCAAGAGTGGGGGGATGTCACAAAAGAAGTGATTGATGACATTCGATCCACAAAAGGAGATGTGAAAAGTAAAACAAGTGTGCACCAATGAGGTCATGCTACTAATCAGATAAGAACCTGTTATCAAACAGATACACACTTTGTGAGACATAAGGACAGGGTAGAATAGTGGGTTGCAAATGGCCATGTAGCGGTCATAAGCCATGGCAGCCAGAAGAAGGCACTCAGCATCTGCAAAGGAAGCAAAAAGATACATTTGAACAATGCACCCTGTAAATGAAATGGCCTTCTTCTCTCTTAAGAAATTGACCAGCATCTTGGGAGCAATGGTGGAAGAATAAAAGGTATCTAGGAAAGCCAGATTGCTGAGGAAAAAGTACATTGGACTGTGTAAACTGGGGCAGGCCCAGGTTAATAGAATAATACCAATGTTCCCCACCAGAGTGACCACATAGATGGCTAAGAAGAGGACAAAGAGGCCTGCATTGATTTCTTGACGATCTGTGAAGCCAAGAAGAAGGAACTCATGCACTATTGTGTGGTTCCACTTAGCCATTTTGTTCAGTCTTTGGTGCCTTTTCAGGATCTGAAATCAAGGAGAGATACGAACTGTGAGGACAATGACAAACACACGGTTATACAAAAGGTGTGTCCTCTCTCCCCCTCAAACTAGAAGTAAAAATATTTCCATTGGTCTTCTTTGATATTTATAAACAATGATAAGCAGGGAAACCGATGACCACAGAAACCTGACATCAGGTTGCTTGGTTTGGCTGAGCTTGTGTTCTCTTTGACAGAATATATTCTCAATATTCTTCATATCTATTCAAACATTTTTTTGAACATACAGTATGTTGGCTGGTGTGCATTCTCTAGAACAGGAGTGAAGAACTATGCCCACTTTATGACTTGTGGACTTCACCTCCCAGAATTCCTGAACCAGCATGGCTGGTTCAGGAATTCTGGGATTTGAAGGCCACAAATCATAAAAGGCCCATTGTTCCCTTCTCTGCTCTAGAAAAGAGGCAATGAGGCCAACTTCACACAAATTTTGTCCCTAGCCAGGCCGATCTATGCATTGTTGGATTGATTTTCATAGTTATTTATTGATAGGCTGGTGGATTTCTATATTTATAACTCCCATTTCTAAAGCTGTCCAATTTCTCAACAGTTTGAGTTGGCATACAAAAGGAAAACCAAAGAAAAAAAAATACCATCACACAATAGTAAAAGGAAACAAAGTTGTCTAGCAAAAAAGACCATAGCTAGACAGTGACCATCTAATGTCTTTAAAAATCCAAATGGTTTACAGTTTAAAAAAGAGAGAAAATATCATAGTCCTGCTTTGAACCAAAACATGAATGAGTATCAAGGGCAATTATGTTTGCTGTCTTCTCTGAAAATCTCTGGATTTGAACGGGATATAAATGTTAATAAACAAAGAAATAAATTAAAAAAGACAAGAGATAACCCAGAAAAGACATAGCATATAATTTCATGCCGGAGTACTGTTTATTAATATTAGTATAAATAATTAGTGTTAGTATTATTACTGTTTACCATTGCTTGAAAGAATGGATATGACAGAAAAGAAATTTACATCTATTCATAATTACTGTATCTGATTTAGAGAGAGAGGCCTTTCAATGCCTGACTTTTTTTCAACCTTAAATCCATGTACCCCTGCTGCTGTACAATTTTGCAATTTTTAGAAAGGTTTAAAATATACATTTTTGTGTGATTTCCCCCCCCCCCCATATACTTATTTTTGCACATATGTCTTTTCTACTTTATGTATTTTAAGTCACACATCACACTAAGAGCTAGTATGGTCTAGTGATTAAGGTACCAGGCTAGAAAGCTGGAAACTGTGAATTCAAATCCTCCCTTACCCATGAAAGTCAGCTGGGTGACTTTGGGCCAGGAACTCTCGCAGCCCAATTCACCTCACCTGATGCTGTTGTGCTGAAAATAGAAGAAGGGAGGTCTGATGGATATGTTCACCACCTTGAGTTATTTGTAAAAATAACAATAGCATACTGCTTCACAGTGCTTTAAGCGGTTTACAAGGTCAGCATATTGCCCCCAACAATCTGTGTGAGCTATAAATAAATAGATAATAAAAGAAAGGATGGGGACCCTTAAGTTGAATTTATTAACTGCTAAAGTACAATGGATGGATGGATGGATAGAAAAACAGAGGAGGAAAGGAAGGAAGGAAGGAAGGAAGGAAGGAAGGAAGGAAGGAAGGAAGGAAGGAAGGAAGGAAGGAAGGAATTCTTTCTATTCAGTTGTGTCAGCAAATCTAAAACAGACCTCCCATTTAAAGCCTTCCTTTTCTGGCACTTATTTTCACATGTATGCATTTCTATGCACTGTGCTGTTTCCCCCTTGTATTTATGCTGCCTTTTGTTTGGAGAATGGTGTTGCAAAAGTAAAAAAAAAGGTAAAAATCTATTTTGAAATTCAATGGTATTTCAGTGGGAGAATTAGCTCACAATGTTTAAGTAAGGGCATGTTAAATGTATGTCCCTCTTCTCCCAATGCCTAAACCTATGATCATTTATCTTCCAGAATTGAAACAACACAGCATTAAAAAGTAAATGAAATTATACAGACAATATTATTCCATAATTGTTTTCCTTGCAGTGATAAATACTGTTTTTATTTTATTCTCCTAGGCTCAAAACATTTGCTCCTGAATTATTATCAATTCTATCCTGCTTTTCTGTCCAGAGTGTACAAGTCACCTAATCATAAAAATCCAGTCAAATGCCAGTCTGAGTCATCCACATCTGTTCTCAAGGAACATCATCACCAATTCCTGCTATATCACTGCCCAT